GGGGATTTGGCTCAGTGGTACGGTGCCTGCCTTGCAAGCATAAGGTCCTGATTTCGATCCCTGGTACCAAACAAAAAACAAAACCCCCAAAAACACAAAGGGAATGGTTCAAACTCTTTCACATATATATGCTAAACTCTGATTAGGTATATTAAAAACGTGACTCTATTAGCTCAGAGTCTATAATGAAATTATGTAACACTTATGTTTCTGCAGAGCCTAGGCACTGTAAGGCTAACTAGTTGCTTCCGTTGGCTCTATTCAGTAAGTATAGGTGACAGTGACAGATTCAGCTTTAGATGGCAATGGACCCGATATTTATTCTTTTAGAATCTGGTCAAGGAAAAATTAGGCTACCCTCCTAGCCTTCAAAACTACTACAATCTTTCACAGGTGCTTTAGAAATACTAAATAATAGTCAGAAGTGATTCACCAACAAATCTCCTACCCGAAAAGAAGCAAGTGGCAGCTTCCTTACAGCACTTCAGCCTACTGACAACCCTGAGCTCTAGTCATAAGAGACAAAGAAAACACAGGCAGAGGTAGGGATGTCCACCGGTCAGTAATCTTTTTCATTTAAGTTTGTCAAACTCTGGTTTGTGCTGGTCTTGTTGAAGAGTAGATAAAACTGAAATGTTCTTGATTCAATTACCCTTTAGTCTTCATCCTCTGGGGGATTCTTACATCTAATATTTACTTGTAAATCAGAATTTGAAGCAACAACTTCAGAATCTGAGCCTCACATTTCATTTGAGAAGCTCTCTTGTATTTCGCAAAAAAAAGTCTGAGATAAAGCCACTCGACAGTATTGCTCACTGTGGGTTACATGTCTAGGAAGAAAAACACTCAAGTGTTACTTGCTGAAGTATCAAAGTAACTCACCAGCAACAGGTCTTGAGCTGCGATTCTAACAGTGTAGGAGAAAGTATCATCATCTTCATCTTCTACAAACTGTTGGGGGTTGGCTGTCCATACTTTAATCTGAAAAGATGATGAAGTTAGGTCTTTGTGAGGCTACCAATCTGGTTCACATGCTCCTTCTTTCCATCAGACATGGGAAGAATTCACAACCTTTCATCCTAAAAATTCTGGCTTCAAAAGTCTTTTCTTTTTGTTGTAGAGAAACAAATCCTTTATCAAGTATGTAGTAATGGGTACTACTTTCTAGAAGATTCTGTGTTTGAATTTGGCAGAACACTTGTTCTCTGCTGTCAATCAGCTATTATTCTTTTTGTACCGGGAATCGAATTCAAGGCCTAGCGTTTGCCAGACAGTTGCTGTGCCACTGAGCTACATCCCCGGCCCAGGTATTACTTTGATAAACTGATTTTCTGATTATATTAGGTCTGATGGGATATTTACTAAAAATATTATGTCAATTTTTGTGCCATTTTATATGATGCAACATTTTATTCTTAAATGACCAGGCTAATAATCTAATCACTATATTTCACTATTTATAGCGAAGCAAAAGGTTCTGCTAAATATCAGGATCTTTGACTACTGTCCTTCAGATTTTCCTAATGGAAAAAGTGTTCTCAAAATCCAAATACCTAGGAATTTGAAAAAAAAAAAAAAGTCAACTTTCCTAGAGGGCTGGGGATTTAGCTCAGCGGTGCCACCACCTGCCTTGCAAGCGCAAGGTCCTGAGTTCGATCCCCAGTACAAAAAAAAAAAAAAAAAAAACTTTCCTAGAACTTCATATCAAGTTATTTTTAGTGCTCATTTTTCAGAAATAAAGTGTTTACTTCACCAAGGCCTCACATTCATCAAGTTGTCTTTCCAAATACAAGCTGGGAACTGTTAAATATTATTTACCTGCTCCTCAGTGATTTGCATGTACAGGATAATATAGTAAATCAATTCAGGCAAGGCTTTCTTAACAGTGCTTTTGAATTTGCTATTTTCTAGTAGGGCATGGACAAATTCAAAAATGCTAAAGACGAGATTTTCAAAACCCAGGACTTCACCTATAGGAAATACACAAAAGAAGAAATTAATGATAAGAAAGCAAAAGGAAAGCATGTATGCTGGAAATAAACTATATTATCTTTGCAAATTAATGAATACTTAAAGTACTTGCTAATCACTATCCCAAAGGATTGTGAGAGGAGGTTGAAGAGTCAAAGAAAGGAACTGTGAGGATATTAATCAATTTTTTTTTTTTGTGGTACTGGGGATCAAACCCAGGTCCTTGCGCTTTTGAGGCAGGCAGTGGAACCACTGAGCTAAATCCCTGGCCCAATTTTTGTTTTTTTCTTTTTTGGGGGTGCTTTGGTACAGGCTCTTGCTATATAGTTCAGGCTGGTCTTGAACTCACTATGTAGCCCAGGCTGGCCTCAAACCTCCAGTGGTCCTCCTGCCTCAGCTTCCCTAGTGCTGGGATTACAGGTGTGTGTCATCATACCCAGTTATTTTTCTTTTTAATTATTCTTTTATTTATTTATTTTGCAGTGCTGGGGATCAAATTCAGGGCCTTGAGCATGCTAGGCAAGCACTCTACCACTGAGCTACACCCCTAGCCCTCTTTGGTTTTTCAAGTAAAAAAATCAGAAACATTGAATGTATTTTCCAGCTTATCTACTTTTGATCTGAAATACTTAAAACAGAAAGAAAATATCTTCATCTGGGACTTCAAAATTAAACTAGACAAAACACAAAAAAGTAGCTGGATTAAGTGGCCTTTAAAGAATCTGGTCCAACTCAGAAATTCTGTGAGTACATGGTTCTTTGCAAATGCCTATGAAGAATAAAGATGGTCAATTCTCAGTTCTTCACATCTAATACAATGAAAGGAAACCTGATTCCAGATCCCTTTTCCCAATAACTGGTATTTATGTCAAGATCATATAAACTACATACCATCAGAATCCACAGGATCTTCTACTTCCTCTGTGTAATTCACTTCTGTCCTCACATAAGTATGAAGAAGAGTAAAGAAACAGAATTTGGAGTTTGCTTTACACATATGTTACAAGAGAATGTAAGTAGTTCAATGCTAAGAGCAGACACTTAAAAGTGAACCACATGAATGTGAGACCCAAGGCTAGATTCCCAACTATAGGTGGTACGAGATCCCTTGGGTTTTCAAGAAAGGATATAAAGCTGCACTCTCTGTTAGGGTGTTCCAAACAATAGGCAGAATCTGCTGCATGGAGGACACCATGTGCTTTGGGAAGTTTTTCACCAGGGCTGTCACTGCCTGAGAAGGAGAAAAACAGCCAAGAATGTAATCAGTAGTTTTGGACTACACTTTCCAAACTCCCAGTCTCACTTGTAGTAAATGTTTACCTTTAGGACCTCCATCTTAAACCCACTGTCGGATGTGGGGCCATCTGGTATCTGGAGGGCCTGAACAAAGGCTTCTGTGAACTGCTGCACCACAGGAAAGATGAGGACTTTGGCTGCACCCTGATAACAGAAATCAAAGGTAACCCTGGACAAACATCTAGTCCATGGCCTCAATATATATATCACACAAAGTCTGTTTTGTTTTTGGAGTACTTGGGTGTTGAACCAAGGGCTCTGCACATGCTAGGCAAATGGTCTACCACTGGGCTGCCTCCCTAGCCCTTTTTATTTTATTCTGAAACACAGGCTTGACTGAGCTGCCCAGGCTGGCCTCAAATCTGCCATCCTGTTGCAGCCTCTTGAGTGGCGGTGCCCCCTCACTTGTGGCTAGTCACTGAGATTTGAGGCATCTAAAGCTCTCTTCAGGCTCAGGCCCCAATCAGAAGGGCATAGAGGTGCCTCCAAAGATCCCACAGAATGTCCTTAACTACACTTTCAGTTCTGCACCACAGTCCACTTAGAGGTCACTGTACCAGACCACTTTCCCATAACGACTTCTGAATCCCCGGAATCAGTATATTGCAGCTAGGTCTATTTCACATAACAGGGCCATAAAACAACAGAAAAGTTCTAGGGAAACTAATATGAAAAGGACATGGGATAAGGTGTGTGAAGAAATAAACTATATACAAATTTAAACATTTACTCAAAATGATAAGTCTACCTACAATATTGGTTATGACAAGGAGCCACTGCTTTGCTGCAATGGAAGGCATTAACAAAGACTTTAATATGAAGTCTGTTGGTTACTCAAAGGCTCACTTACCTTTTCCAGCTCCTCCATGTTACAGATCATATGGGCACAAGTAGTAAAAATCTCCACAGCTCGGGACCGAGTTCGAATACCATACACCTAGGAAAAAGGTTACAGCACACCCTGAGATTGGAGTGTGTACGCGTGTGTGTGTGTGTGTGTAGACTAGAAGTAAGACTATTACTATGAGGAATGATCAATCCTCACATGAGATTAGATTTCCTACAGAGACGGGAAATATTCACTCATGTTTGAGAGAAACTTCTGTAATTCAGAGAATATAAGGTAGCAGACTAAGAATGTCAGAACTTCTTGGAATTAGCCTTATAAAAAGATTTTTGTAGGGTAACTTAATGTGGCCAATGTATTTCTTTGGTTCTTTTCTTTCTTTCTCTTTTTTGGTACTGGGAATTGAACTCAGGGACTTGTGCTTGCCAGGTAGATGCTGCACTGCTGAGTTACATTCCCAGCCCTCTTTCTTTTTCTTGTTTTTTTTTTCTTTTTTGGTACCAGGGATCGAACTCGGGACCTTGTGCTTGCGAGGCAGGCAGCAGAACCACTGAGCTAAATCCCCAGCCCTCTTTCCTTTTCTTTCATAGTGCCGGGAAACAAACCTAGGGCCTCCTTACAAATGCTAAGCACCTCACTGAGCTATATCTCCAGCTCTAAATTCACTTCTTTTAAGATGTACACTACTGATCGAGAGCAGAAGAACAGGGAGGTTGAAACGTTAACCATTATACATCTATACCTTATTGTCAATGAGTTATCATTCATATACAGCTTGATATTCAAATATACATATTTGGCATACTATATATGTGACATATTAAGGGTCTATTGAGCCAGACATGATGGCGCACACCTGTACTCCCAGCACTACTGAGGCTGAGGCAGGAGGGTGCAAATTACGGCACAGCCCAGGCAACTTAGCAGGACCCTGTGTCAAAATTAAAAATAAAAAAGGGGTTGGGGAGTAGCGCAGTGTAAAGGTCCTGGGTTCAATCTCTAATACCACACACTTACCAAAAAGGATCTATTTGTGCAAAGAAGTGATAGACTATTTCTAAATCCTGAACAGAAGGCTAGAGGCAGCAATAAAGGCTCTAGGCATTTCGGGATTAGAGGATGCCAAGAAATATGAAGTATATGAAGATAGGTCACTCTTTCATCAAGGGCTGGCCTGCAGTTGTGAGTGAAAAGTCTTATGTTTAATTCAGACTCTGATCTAGATCTTTGTCAGTTTGAGTCTTTAGGGGTGGGGATCAGTAGCAAACACAATAATCTCCCACCAGAGAGGTGGAGGCTAACCACAGCCCGAACAGCCCTCTTTGTTGAAATCAGGGAGCTGAGGTTCCATACCTCTGCCATGGTGAAGATCTTATACATCTCTGGGAGAATGACAGGAGCCACAAGTGGCATCTGTGTGTCTGTCACTTCTCTAGTGAACTCTACAAAGAAAAGAGTAGTATCATCAAAATGTAAGCCATTAAGTATGAAAAGTTTCAAACTGTTTCTAGATAGCGCTGTCAGCATACAAGTAAGGACACTGGCCTGGCAGCCTTTATCCTGGGGCAGAAAAAGGAATTAATATACCCCACTATCCTGGGTAACATCAAGCCCTATGAGTCAAATGAAGATCAAATGTTCAAGGTTTTATCTTCTGTACTAGCTGTGACTTCCTCATGAAGAATAAATCCTGACCTTTGAACAGTGAGTGTTCTACTTTATTTAGATATTCCAGGACTCAGACCAAACAAATATGATGGACAGCATATTAATGCTAACAAGTTTTATGCAGTGATTTAACCCTACTAATGAAGTGACTGTATTTTTTACTCTCCTGTGATTATTCCCAATCGTCTCAACTTACATTTTACAGGGGTTTTTTGTTTGTTTGTTTGTTCTTTTGGAGACAAGTTCTCATTATGTTGCCAAGACTGGCCTTAATTACCAGATTCTGTTTCAGTCTTGTGAGCACCTGGGATTACAAGTGGGTACCACTGTGGCCGGCCACACTTTATACATTTAAAGTTCAATGTAAGTTTTCTGAGGTCATTTGGTAAGTCAAAAAAAGGGTTGCGATACCAACACTTCAACCTCCAAACTTCTTTGAGACTACAGGAAAAGATGTATCTTGTGAATCAAGTATTTTAATTCTTAGCTGCTATGTTTGCATTTCCTTCACACCATAAGGCTTAGTTTTCTTTTATAAATATATAAATAATTGAGAAGGCTCAATGAAAGAAGACAGGGATAGTATATTAAAAAAAAACAAGAACAAAAAAACAAAACCTCAAAGAGGATGGGTGCAGCAGTGCATGCTGCAGTCCCACCTATTCAGGAGGTTGAGGTAGGGTGATCACTTGAGTACAGGAGTTCAAGGCTGCCTGGGCAATACAGCAAGATGCTGCCTCAAAAGCAAACACCAAAAAACCCCTGAAGAGAATCAGTCCCATTCTCCTACTGGTTCCTATGCATACACAAATGTTCTGCTATTTTTATACACACCTGAGTTTCTATTTTCAGAGTTCATATAGTTTGTCCTCTTTTGAAAATATTTGAAGGAGTTATTTGGGAGTGGAAATTGGCTGCAATCCACTCTATGTCTGATGACTCCATTACAAAAGGATACAAATTTCCCTACCAGTTCTTTCCCTTGGCTGACAGAAAAATGATCTCATTGAACAATAATTTCCTTAGTCCACTACAATGAGGGCTTTTCAGCATTCCAATCAGGATAAATGTACAATCATCCTTTTTCTTCAGGTCTATCAAAAGGAATCCACTGTGTTGGCAGATTAGGAGGGAATAGGCTTCCTTTCATAGGTAGAAAATATATCTGTTGTTATCCTAGTACTATGATGCTATAAATAAAGAACTCTCCCAATTCCATGGAGGAGTATGTGGAGTCACTGAATAAGGAATCAAAAAGCAGAAGAAAGGGAAATAAGAAGGAAGCAAAAAATATGAACAAGAAACATTTGGATCTTTTTTTTTGGTAACTGCATTTCATCTGAGCAAAAACTAAAGTTTTGTCACAAGCAACCAATGAACATATAAGTAGACAGCTTAAAAAAGCACCTGGGGCATGGGAAGAGGAAGTTCTGAAACAAATGGAGAAGAATTTGACTTTGACATAGAACTGATATCATCTACCATTGGTATCACGGGGACTAAGATTTGGCTTAGATGCCTAGCTCTGTAAACTGAGATTCAAAGCGTGGACTTGGCATTCACAAGTAGCTAATACAATTCAGCTAAGCTAGCAGGTCACAGAGAAACAAGATAAAATATAGGTGGGATGTTTCCTATATTCTAGGGCCTCACATAGAATAATTTCTAAAAGATCTGTCTAAAATGACTAAAGTTTAGATACAGATTTCTTTCTTTTTTTCTTTTCAAGACAGTGTCTTACTATGTAGTCCAGGCTGGCCTTGAACTCACCATTCTCCTGCCTCAGCCTCCTGAGTGATGGGATTAAAGGCCTGTGCCACCATGCCCAGCTCAGATAGATTTCTTGAAGGATTTCCTACTGTCCTTATCTACAGGACTGGAAGCAGAGCAGAACTCACATAGCACCTGGACACTCAGGCCATACTTAGGGACAGAAGAAAGCAGGTTCTGGGAGGGAGTGATAGGGTAATCAGTCTTAGACCAGGTATTCATCAAATCTCCCTGCACTGAAAGTTAGAAGCATTTTTATCAATCTCTCAGAACAGAAAAACGATACCAAAGACTGTATTCTCTAAGCTAGCTAAATAATGGTCGGGATAATACAGATATATGGTTTTGTATCTTTTTTTCTTATATTTCTTTTTTTTTTTTTTTTTTTTTTGAGACAAGGCCTCACTATGTAATATAAGCTGGTCTTGAACTCACTATGTAGCCCAGACTGGCCTCAAACTTGCAGTGATCCTCTTGCCTTAGCCTTTCAAGTGCTGGAATTACAGGCGTGTGCTACCATGCCTGGCCTTTTCTTATATTTCTGTAAAATTTCTATTTGCTTTTACCCCCCGCAGTGCTAGAGAATGAGCCCAGGGCCTCACACACACTAAACAAGTACATTTACCAGTAAGCCACATCCCCAGCCACATATGACCATTCTTAACTCTGTTCAATTCAACAGTAGAATACAAACCCTTGAGTTCTAGTAACTGCTCACTTCATTGGCTGATTTTCCACATTATCACTATAAAAATGAAACTCATTAATTGAGACATTTTTCAGGAGGATATACAGCTGGCTAATGGCTAATATATAATAATGATGGTAATTATAAGGACCAAATTTTGCTGAGTGCTTACCACATGTTATTGTGCTAAATACTTTACACAGATTAGCTTAAACCACCAAAAGCTACTTTGAAGTAGACACTTATCATCTCAATTTTACAGACAAAAAAACTTAGGCTCAAAGAAGCTAAGTTAAAGGTGAAGCCAGACTATGAACCTAAAATATCTAAATACTCAATCACTATGGTATTCTTGTACTCTTTTATCTTTCTTTTCTTTACTTTTTGTTCCAGCTGGGGCTGGAGCTCAGAGGCTCATATATACTAGGGATGATTCTACCCTGCAGCTATGCCCCCAGTCCTTTACACCCATAAGTAATAAGGTTTGATGGTAAAAGCAGTGCTATGCCAACTTAATTTCTTAAAATGAGCCAAGGAAGTAGATGTGGAAGTAAAAACTACGAGAGGAATAATATTTGCAAAAAAACTGGAGGAGAGGAATAGCATTTGTAGCAAGTCTTCCGCCTGGGCCACCCTATCACACAGCTTCTTGTAAGTGTGCCTGTCACTTAGGATCCAAATACCAATACCAGGAAAAAGACTTCTGGTACCTGTCAGCACGCGCATGGCTCCATGGACTGCATTTAAGTCTCCGCTCACCAACATCTCCATGAGCAGGTTGAAGAGCTGGGGCCAGGCTTCAGGCCAGTCCCAGTGGGCAATGGCTGACACTGCATAGGCAACACTGGAACGCACTTTGCTTATTGATTCTCTCAACCCATTGGGTAGTAGCTCCCGGATAACGATTTTTGCCTGTGGAGGAGGAAAGTCCACTTGCCGTTATATCAGGTTATAAGTCACTGGCAGAGCCCAGTCCAGTTTGGAACTATGTTATATTAAAAACAAAACAGGGCCGGGGATTTAGCTCAGTGGTGCCACCACCTGCCTCACAAGGCCCTAAGTTCGATCCCTGGAACCAAAACAAACAAATAAACAAACCTCACAAAAAACTTCATATCTATAGAAAATTCCTACATGAAAACTTGACGATTCATTCACAGAGTTCATCAGTAATCTCTAAACTTATGCTGGCCATTACAGTTGCCACTAGCTCCATGTGGCTGTTTCAATGAAAATTAAATAAAATTAAAAAAAAAATTAAATTAAAATTCAGTTCCTCAGTTACAGGAACCAGATTTTTAGGTGCTCAAAAGCCATATCAGGCCTCCTATTGGACATTCCAGATCCAAAATGTTTCCATATTTGCAGAAGGTTCCAAAGAACAGTGTTACTCTAGACCTTGTATCTCAGTAATTCTTAGGGGTCCAAGATGGTTGCACAGTATTCTACTAGGCAAAAACACGGTTTCACTTAATGCTCAAGCCTTTTGAAGTTGGTAGTTTAATTCCAATTTTAGATTTCTTTTTCTGCCTAGCCCCCCCCACCCCCCAGTGCCAGAGATTGAACCCAGGGTCTTGCACATGTTAGGCAAGCCCTCTACCACTGATCTATATCCCCAGCCCTTTTCTTTTCTCTTTTTTGAGGCAGGGTCTTGCTACATTGCCCAGACTGGCCTTGAACTTGGAATCCTGCTGCTGCAGCCTCCTGAGTAGACGGGATTACAGACCAGTCCCACTGTGCCTGGCTTCAGCCTAGTCTTTTGATTGCTCCATGCTGTCAAAGAATGTTGAAAGCCTAATCTCTTAAAATAGTCCCTCAAATCTCGGGAGGTAGATTAATCAAGCAACTGTCCTTACCCTTTCTGTAGTCTCAGGAGGCCTAAACTTCTCTGACTGGGCACACCAGTGGGTCTCCACATACTGCTTCAAGATAACTGATGCCAGCTGTGAAGAGAATAAGCCAAGAAGTACAGCAGAAAAAGACTTTTCACACATAACCACATATATAGCTTGATGCATTTGAATCATACCTAATCTAGTATAAAATCATAGGTTATTTATAAATTGGCCTTATTCTTTCTCTTTCTCATAAGCAAATTTTATTACCAAGGAAAAGGAAATTACTCATAAATTGGCCCAGTCTGGACTTACCTGACGGATTGCCAGTGCTCCCTGGGGATCAACGGTCAGCTCTGCCAAGTGAACACCAAATTCTGAAAGAGAAAGCTTTACTGTGAGTTTAACAGCATCAAGAAAGTCCTAGCAATTTAAGCTCCAAACCCCGATACCATAAAAAGATTTCATAAAGAAAGTTATCCACTGCTTCTAAAAGTGCTTATAACTGTTCAGATTGATTTCTTCAGATAAGAGAAACAAGCCGGCCTGCAGGGAACAGTTCTTCACAAGGAGCAGTTCCAGTACCCTTATTTTCTCCAATCACTGCATGGCATCTTCCAGCCACCTTCTCTTCCAAGATAGAAACATCTTCCTCCAGATGAATGAATGTAGTAACTAAGTAAAAACTGGGGCTTTGTAACCCAAGGAAAATTTAAAAGGTGAAGATGCAGGAGGTGCCCAGATAATACTTTGCCATAAGAAGGGATAAACCTGAGTCATTTATAGGAAAATGGATGCACCTTGAGACCACAATGTTAAGTGAAATAAATCAGACACACAAGCTTAAGTATTGCATGGTTTCTCTTATGAGAAACCCAAAGCTTAGATAATTAAAGGGTAAAATAAATAATAGGAAATAGGGATATAAATCTTTTGCAAAAGGGAAGGTGATCAAGAGACTTGGGGTAGGGGGATAAAAACATAATTAAAATGTGTTATATCCATGTATCAACTCCCTACGAGGATGTAATCATTATGTACCTCAAACATGTACCAATAAAAATGTAAAAAAGGAATTTCCCAGATATACACTACCAGTTACAAGACAATGAAATCTAAAACCTGGCTTCAAGAGTATTATTTCTTTTTTTCTTTCTTTTCGGTACTGGGAATCAAATTCAGGGACTCACAATTGCCAGGCAGATACTGTGCTGCTGAGCTTCATCCCTGGCCCTCAACAGTCTTATTTCTATAAAATTTCTTTCTTTCTTTTTTTTTTTTGTACCAGGGATTGAACTCAGAACCTTGTGCTTGAGAGGCAGGTGCCGGAACCACTGAACTAAACCCCAGGCTTATTTCTAAAAATATAAGTGTTGATAATTTCCATCAAGCAAAATACAAATAGTAATTTTGAGCTGCATATTATGCCTCCAAGCAGGAATGATCAGCCTGTTGTTACTCTCTACCTGGAGGTAGCTATGATTAGTTTGGTTAAGAGAACAAGCCCTGGATTTTGGTTAGTTGAGGTTCAAATTCTGAAACTACCATGTCTGTCCTTGGGCAAGTTTTCTTCCTTCGAAATACCAGTTTCCTGGTCGACAAAATGATAATAGTATCTCTATATTAAGCAATCCTATGAGAACTGAATGAAATAATACATGTAAACTGCTTAGCATAATTACTGCCACATACTAAAAAAAATGTAAGAAAAAGTTATCAGTGTTATAATCAGAACTTTTTTTTTTGTACCGGGGATCAAACTTGGGACCTTGCACTTGCGAGGCAGGCTCCAGAACCACTGAGCTAAATCCCTGCCCCAATCAGAACATTTTTGTAAGTACTGACCAGTTATTTGGTAGAATGTGTTTCAATTTGAGTTTGCCTGAAATTTCCTCATGTTTAGATTGAAATTAAGCATTTTTACCAAGAATACCAGCAAGTTGCTGCCTGCCTTGAAAGCAGAAGGTCCCAAAGTTCGATCCCCGGTACCAAAAAAAAAAAAAGAAAAAAGAATACCAGCAAGTGATGCTGTGTTCTCAGAGGATCACATCAGGTAGTAATGTTGATAAATTGTATTACTGCTACTGTTAACCTTGATTACTTGATGTGAGGTCTGCTTTTTCTCCACCATAAAGATACTGTTTTTCTCTTTGATAAAAGTTTTGGGAGATATTTTGAAATTATGCTACTATCCTACTTCTTTTCAAACTCTTGCCTACTGATTTTGTTTTTTAATATTTATTAGTACACGTGTGTAGTACACAATGTTTACATTCCTTGTGTGGAGCTGGTGCATGTACATAACACATCTTCATTCCTTCTCTCATGTCCTTTCCCTTCCCTCCCTCCACTGCTCAATCCCGTTCCTTTTTTGGGGGGGGCGGGGGGCTGGGTTGCACTACATGTTTATACGCCTTGTGTGGAGTAGTAGATGGAATGTGTTATGCACATGCATCACCCAGTGATTTTGGTATCTGTATGCGAACGCTGTGTGCAATGACTATTACAGTGTTTGCTTAAGGGTGATGCTGTTCTTTATTCTCCTCACTTAGTAATTGGAATTCTTCTGTAAGAACTGTCCCTTTTTCTGTATTCAATTATTTATTTAAAAAAAATTTTTTTTCATACCGGGGATTGAACTCAGGACCTTGGACTTGCAAGGCAGGAGGCAGCACCACTGAGCTAAATCCCCAGCCCCTTCAATTATTTATTTATGCCTGTATGGACTCATAAGTACCTATTTTATTCTATGTGTTTTAATCCAATAATATCATTATTTATTTTGTTGTCCACATTGTTCCAGCTTTGGCCATTAGAACTCCTTCCAGTTGGCTCCTGGGTAGTTATATTCATACGCCCCATCCTTTTTCTAGAACTTTTCATATATTACAAGATATTCTAGGCTCATGTTGTATCTTCTATGCCCAGGCCCCAGAAGCAACTTCTCCCAAAAGCATCAATGTTCTTTTAGTGGAGAATAACTAGGTTAGTTAGAAACCAACATGTGGGCTCTACATACGTACATTTCTACTGGGGTGTCATTACTCCCAACCCTTTCAGAGACCAGAGCTGGGACATACAGTATCCCTACATATCTGCCTGTCACACTGATATCTCAGATGCTAACCCATTAACTCAAAGTTCACTCTATTCTTCTCTCTTTCTTATTTGTAATTTCCTTCTCTGACAGTGACAAACTTGGTTCTCATCATCTACAATAAATTTATTTATTTTTGTGGTACTAGAGATTGAACTAGACATTGTACATTCCCCAGCTCTTTTTATTTTGAGACAGGATATTGCTAAATTGCTAAATTACCCAGGCTGGGCTCAAGTTTGCAATCCTTCTGCCTCAGTCTCACAGTGCTGGGATTACAGGCATTCACCCTCATGGCAAGCCTGAATTTACTTATTTGTTCAATCTTAGAAAATTACAGAACTATAACACACACATATCCTTGTGAGAAAAAGATCTATTAAGGGAAATACAATTTTTTTTCTGGTACTGGGAATCAAACTCAGGATTCGAGTGCTTGTGCTTGCCAGGTAGGCACAGAGCCACTGAACTACATCCCCGGGCTGGAAACATAATTTCTGTTCAGTTTTTTTTAACTTTAGGCAATAAGCAGTCAAATACTAATTTCCCAAAGTTACTAGGGCTAGTTGCTTCTTCCTCAGCATCTAATTTTATGTTATTAACTTGTAATAAAGTTATTTCATTTGTTACTACTCGTATCATTGGGTTCTCCATATTTTTGAATTTTAATTATTTAATTTTGGGAGGTGTATATGAAACAATACTATGATTCTGAGAGTCAAAGCTGTACAAAAAGGCATTCCCAAGAAGCACTGCCCCTTCTTCATCCCTATTAACTTGTTCTCAATACTTTCTTCTTCCCACCCCACCTCTTACCCACCGACTCGGTGAAGGTAGGTAATCAGTCAGTTTCTGATTTATCCTTCCTATATTTCTTTCACACAAGCAAGCATGTGTGGGAGTTTTTGTTATTGTTTTGTTTTGAGACAAGGTTTCACTAGGCTGGTCTTGAACTCCTGCAAAAGTGATGCCCTTATATCAGCTTCCTAAGTAGCTGGGACTACAAGCATATGCTACCATGGCCTGGCTCATGTGTATTTTCTTATATCCCCTTCTTGCTTACATGCAAAGTAACATATTATAAACACTCTTTAGCACTTCCTTTTTTTCTCCTAGTTAACAATATATCATGGAAATTACTCCAAATCAGTTCATAGCTTTCTCATTCTTTATTACAGTTGCATAACATATCATAGAAATGTACCACACTTTTTTCAACTACTCTCCTCTAAATGGGCAGTTCACATTTTCTTATGGTTGAAGGTGATACCTTCAGATCACATTCTCAGAAGCAGAGTTGTGGTTTAAGAGGTACAATGTGTAATATTACTGGATGTGGTCAAATTTCCCTCCAGAAGGATTGCACTAATTCGTACTCACACCAGCAAGATCCAAGAGTATTTTTTAGGGCTGGGGGTATAGCTTAGTGGCAGAATGCTTGCCTAACACGAGTGAGGCCCTAGCTTGGATCCCCAGCACCATATATTAAGTGTTTCTCCAATTTTGTCAACAGAAATGTGCTACCACTTTTTAAATTTTTGTCAGTCTGGCAGATGAGAAATGACATTTCAATATTGTTTTAATTTGTATTTCTCCAATCACAAGTGTGTTTAACCTTTTTTTTTTTTTTTTTTTTAATGTCTGACTATAATGAGAAAATCTTTTCTGGAGGAGGATGGTTGTATATCCATGCCGTTCTCCAACCCCTCAACAGTAGTCTTTGAGGGTTTTGGTCCTTTGTTCCCTAAGAGTTGTTGGTAGGGGCAGTGGTACTTGTACTTCAAAATTGCTGGGTGGAGGGCAGGAGGACTGAAACATGAAGATTCCAAGTTCAAGGCCAGCCTAGGCAATTCAGCAAGACCTTATCTCAAAATAAAATCTAAAAGGGCTGGAGATATAGCTCAGTGTAACATATTTGTCTACTGTACTTAGTTTTATCCCCACTATTGGAGGAAAAAAAATTCTGTATACTGTGTATCCACTGTATTATCCTTTTGTCTGTGGTACTATATATATTGTGAGAAAAAAATTCTCACATGTAGTTTTTTCTGCCTTTTTTTGCTATTCAAGTTGTAAAACAATTTTTAAGTAGTCAAATTTATGAATCTTTTATTTTATTGCAACTGGCTTTTGAGGCTTAAGTTAGAAAGTTTTTCTCTATGTTTAAAGTTAAAGAGATGGGCCAGGGATATAGCTCAGTGGTGCTGCACGGGCCTGGCAAGCACAAGGTCCTGAGTTCAATTCTGGGTAGCGGAAAAAGAAAATTTAATTTAAAGAGAA